AACCCCAGCAGTTCACTCTTATCTACACAGATAGAGTAGCAGTGGGGAACTTTCTAGGTATGGCATTATTTTAGACACTGTGACCTTCCAGTCTGTTGAAAGATCCATTCACCTCAAGGGTGCTTGCATGGGTATAAATAATATTTTATGTTCCAGGCTGACTGAATGCAATATGAAGCCCCCTTCTCATCTGGTGTAACTCAACACAACTCATGTAAAGTCAATGGAACGATGCCAATCTAAACTGGCTAAAGCCCCCGGCCTCTGTTTTTCTTCGTGCTATCTAATCTCTGTCTTCCACTCTGCAAAGTGCAATGGCAAAGACTAGAAATAACAATGTCACAATGTCTTTGCATGTAACTCCCTTGCATAAAAGCTGATAAACAGATTTTCAAAATAAGTGAGGGCGGAAGAAAAGAGCATTGATGATGTTTGACATGATTCTTAACGTGATATTTGCTTGGACTGACCTTCCATCTAAAATGCCAGGATAAGCACTTTAAGGCCCTGATTGAAGCTCAGAACATTCCCCACAGGAAATGGTACAAATGTTCTATAAGTAGTCATTGGAAACACTAAAAAAAACACATGTTACTCAAACCATATGAAAACACTTGTAATGGTATCAGAAGGTATTTTGAGGGGGGGAAACATATTCAAGTTAGCCTGAGTACTTTGCTTTGAGTTCATGAAGAAACAAAAAGGAATTTAGATAGTTGTGTTTTGATCAGCATACTCAACGTTTGGGGTTGTATCTAACAAAATCCTTGTGCGAACAAAATGGCTTTCATTTGAACAGTGGAACTTCACCTCCTTGCCCTTATTCTTTGTAGGATAAATATGAGAATGACATTGCATTTTGGATGCTGATTGGTACATCAGTGATGCCTGAATGTTGATCAGCAGGATTTATATATTTCCCACAGCATTTTCTTTCTTCATCAGGTTTGTGGTAATTAGCCTTTTCAAGATAATTTCCTCTTTTTACATGATAATTTTCTCCTACCGCCCTGAGACCTCTGGATATGGGGTGGCATATAAATTAAATTAACAACAAAAACAACACTCAGAAAGTCAGGCCTCCATCCCAACCCCTCTGCACAGGATTCTGAATGTCATTTGCCATTATTCTTGTACATATTTACAATGCATAAATCCAATAAATAAACATTGTGCAGCCATGTTAAGGAGGTTTAGCTGAATATGAGATTACATAAAGTGCCAGAAAGAGGTCCTGCTTTATTTCATCTTCTGAACTTTATCCGATTACCTGCCTTTGGTTTTTCTTATTCCCTTTATGATTTTGGTATTTCTTTCAATAATTCATTTATCCACACCTAGTGACAACAGAGGGGTTGTGATTCTATAACATAAACCCATTTTCAGAAGTTGCTTGCTAAATGTTTTGGGGTCTGACCAGCACAACATGGGCCAAGAGCTATTTTGACAGTCAAAAATGGCTTCTTTCCACCAAAAGGGTGCCCTGACAAATGAGATGGTGGTAATCTAAAGTGCTGTCCATTTTACTACACCATAGGAATATAATGGGAATAAAACAACTGCACAGATAGACAACGGTAAATAGACTGAGAGGGGGAACTTAAAACAATTTCTTCTAGAAGCTGAACAGGCGCACTCTGGTTAGATGGTAAGGATCCACTGCAAAACTGATTGTAGGTCCCATTTCTATACATTGAATACCAAAGCTGTATTTACAGAGAGACAAATCACTGGTGTGTGATGTAACAGGGAGATTCTAATAAGTGGTCCTGTTACCAGAAGTTGAAAAGGATAAATGTGTTTTATGTGAAAAAAATGATCAAAAGCATGAATGTCATCAGTAAGTGCATTTTTCTCAGAAAGCAACTGTTTTCTATTTCTGTTCCTATAGAAATGGGAAGTTAGACTTTATACTTCCTTTGAAAGAAGGATACAACATATTGTGACTATTCTTCCTGAAATGAAAAGCATTATATGCGGTTTTAGGTGGAGCCATCTAGATGATGCAACTCTCCCTTTCTAAAGCCGGCAGGAAATCCTTAGGTTTCTGACCCGAACAATCTGATCAGCTGCCATCGCTATGGCAATTATTCACAACATTGTAGTCTATTCCATGGAATAGACTATAAAAGCCTATCTACACATTGCATAAAATATCCTTGTTCACACATAATGCTAAGTCAAACCACAGCTTACCAAAAACCTTGCAGAGGGAAAATACAGACAGAATATTTTCTGATTTGTAGTGCAAATTTGTAACCACCGTGTACTCTCTGTGCATCTTCTGTATGCTGGTTTTTCACCTGAAATGTTATTGTGTGGCGGGAGTATTTGGATTACAAAGCCATCAGGCCACCATGCGATGGATTCCAAATGTCTGGAAAACCCTGCTGTGTTGCAGCCTTTGAACATGTGGGAGCACAAATAAAATTCCCCATGTGCAATTTGGGGGGGGAAATTAGACATAATTCTAGTGTTCCTTCCCTTTTTGGATTCTGAATAATCCTTCCCCTTACAGCAAGTAGAAGCAGCAAAATTCTACTTCTAGAAATGTGATGAAACCTCCAGGTGCAGTCAATCAAAGCAAGCTTCCTTTGCATTCCAGCCTCATCTTTCACTGTGTGAGCATCAAAAGGGTGTATCAGTAACACTTGGGAACAAATGGCTGATCATTACTAATTCCACTGGTATTTGTTCTATAGTGATAGTGTTAATCGCAATGACCTAACTCCGTTTTACATGTGGGATTAGTTAGCATAGGAGGCAAAACCCAGCGTCGCGTGCCAATACCTTTGGGACAATGTTGCTGAGTTTGCCCTGGAATGCTCTGCTTTGTGAGTGTCTTTGATTAAATCAGTGGACAGTGTCTGGTAGATCAAGCACCATGGTCTTTGTCTAGTTGCTACCCTCTTATTTGTGCCAATATATTTAGAAAATCTTTATTAAAAAAACCAGGAAGTTGCCATTTTACAGTATACTCCTCCTAACCATTTCATTTCATATTTTAATCCATTTTATTAAATCTTTGCTTTACACATTGCATTTTTTTTTAATATATATGTAATTTGTATTAGTTTTTTACATAAAATTTGACATTATTCAATTCACTTTCAATAGCTTACATTTTGAGATATCTTACATATCTTTCCATCCATGATGTTCCTGTTGTATTCCTTTACCTGCTGTCACAACTGCCATTTGTTTTCTATTATATTATAACTTATATTACAATCATTTATTTATTCTACTTCCCTTGCCTATTATTCAAATCCTGCTCTCAATTTCATTCGACTATAGTTTCCCACCTGCAAATAATCCAAAAAGAACCTCCAAAGTTCTCATCTTTTAAATCTGTTATTTTTGCTTCACCATCTCTGCATACATATTACAGTTTCTTTTGATCTGTAGCCGGTGTGAAAAACCTTTGGTCCTCCAGATGTTGTAGAACTGCACATCCCATCAACCCTTGCCACTGGCCATGCTTGCTGGAGCTGATGGGAGTTCAGCAACTTCTGGTGGGCCAAAGGTTCCTCACATCTAATCTGGGGTATATCCTCTTTTAGCAAAGAATCATAGAGTTGGAAGGGGCCACGAGGACCAACTAATCCAACCTCCTGCAATGCAGGAATCTTTTGCACAACATGGGGCTTGAACCTATGACCCAGGGATTAAGGGTCTCATCCTGTACCGACTGAGCTATCCCAAGAACCTAAACCCCATTCTTCATATCACCTTTCCCAACAGATGAGCATGAGATATGAGCATATCTCCTTCTCCTTGTGATTCTTTCACACAGCGCTGTCCATAAGTGTGTCCAATCCCCACAACTGCTCATTGATGGCTGCCTCATGCTAACTTGTTCCCACCACCTATCTAGCCATACAAAGCAGACTATTGTGGATTTGTCCAGCCTTCTATTTATGTTTAGACTGAAAAGAAGAAGAAGAAGAAAAACCCAGAGGGTTTTCATTCACCTGGCACAGGCTGCAGTTCATGGCTACTAGGCTGCATTTGGCTCTATAGACCACAAATTCTGCAGTCCTGCCTTAGGTTTTTCTTCTGTATATTTTCACAGAGCCATTAACGCAGAGAACTGAAGTTTCCTATAAGCACTATACGTTTCTGAGGACAAAAAGGGGCATGCATCTGTTACATTACGCCACGCTTGCCAGATTACTGTAAGAATTATAAAACACTGGTGCTCGAGGGCAAAGGCATTTTATCAGCGGTGGGGTTACATGCACTCACAAGAGCACAGACGTCTGCAGTCATTTGCATTAGAGTGATCAGTAAATTTGGATGAACTCTCTGGCACTGGCCACCCAGCGAGGCGAGTCTTGGACCAGACGGGCATTCTGGCTCCAAAGAAACATGGGGGTTTCTATATTCTTTATGAATTTCTATTATACGAGGATTGAAAACGTTCCAGACATTTGGATGGCAACCTATGCTTGTTACTGATTGTAACTGGCACCAGACTCACGATGGAAATCTGTTTGATGCAACTGGCACATGCACTGTTTGTTTTAGAGTGGAGCGAATGCTGTTAAGGAACCCCCTGCCATGCTTGCAAAATCTTTTTTCTTTCCCCATCTAATTTCAGCTTAATGCCAAAAGTTATTTAATTCAAAATTAAATTCATTTGCCTTGTGGGTATCACAGCAGTGTTCTAGAATTGTGTGGTAGCCTCCCCCCCCCCCCATACAATGCATTTAAAGCAGTAATAAAGCACTTTAAACAGTCATGGCTTCCCCCCAAACTCTCCTGGGAACTAGTGGCAGGCTTTGGATTTTTAAATTTCAGGGGCGCTCTATGTGATGCCAAAATTTGGTGCCCCTCTAGTCCCTCACCTTCCATTCCAAGTCATTGATTTGGTGTACCCGGCAGCGCCCTCTCAGCTTGACACTCAGTGCGGGCGACAGGGCATCGCCCCTCTAAATCCACCTCTGTGGGAACTATAGTTTGTTAAGCATGCTGAGAGTTTAAATAAATTTAAAAATTGTCCAGTAGCACCTTAGAGAGCAACGAAGTTTGTTCTGGGTATAAGCTTTCGTGTGCATACACACTTCTTCATGCACACGAAAGCTTATACCCAGAACAAACTTCGTTGCTCTCTAAGGTGCTACTGGACAATTATTTTATTTTAGTTTATTTATTTCGACTGCGTCAGACCAACACGGCTACCTACCTGAATGCTGAGAGTTTGTTAAGCATGGAGTTTGCTAATTGGGTAGCTTGTTAAGAATGCTGGGAATTGTTAAGAAACCTTTGTCCTCTTTGGCCTGATCCAGCAGATTCTTCTTATTTTCTTATCACATCGCCTGTTCAAACCTTAGGCCAGTTTCTGAACCCACTACCTACAGTGTTTTAGGTACTGTGCACTCTGTTTTGTGAAACTTGCAGCCCATTGGAGTTAGAAAGGCTCTGGCATCGTACACATTTTCTATTTCTCTCTCTCTCTCTCTCTCTCTATATATATATATATAGAAAGCATGAATTTACTCTCAGGTAGCATCAGATTTCTTTTGGAAAACTGTTTTCATCTGTTTTACTTATTGTAGTTAAAGGTATATGGTTAAATATTGTTGTGTGCTTTATTGCATCAGTACATGACAAATAAATGCCATTTCTCAATACAGCGATTGCTGCATTGTCTTCCTATATTTCTCATTGACTATATTTGTAAGCTTTGTCATTTTCCTTCAATTTAAACTTACCTTTCACTTTCCCAGCACGCATGGATGTTCCACTGTTGGTTAACATTCCATTGTGACTCCAAGCAGTTATAACGTTTGTGAACATCCCATTCTATCACAACAGCTAAAGGGCGTGCTGATGACTTGCCACAGGTAACATCCACTTTTTATGCTTATTATAAATAGTTGGGTTAATGACTGTTGAGATATCTTTAGATGCTTGGCTGTGGGTGACAAGTGCAGTGTAAGGAGCATCTCCACCTCCATTGTTCTGCCCGGACACGGAGGTCCAGCGCCGAGGGCCTTCTGGCGGTTCCCTCGCTGCAAGAAGCCAAGTTACAGGGAACTAGGCACAGGGCCTTCTCGGTAGTGGCGCCCGCCCTGTGGAACGCCCTCCCACCAGATGTTAAAGACATCTAACTACCAAACTTTTAGAAGACATCTAAAGGCAGCCCTGTTTAGGGAAGCTTTTAATGTTTAATAGGTTATTGTATTTTAATGTTTTGTTGGAAGCCGCCCAGAGTGGCTGGGGGGACCCAGCCAGATGGGTGGGGTATGAATAATAAATTATTATTATTATTATTATTATTATTATTATTATTTATTATTATTATTACCACAGAATGCATTAATTGCTAATTTCAAAAGGCCCCTTATTCAGTTGTGTTTCATCTCTTTTCTGTAATGGGATCCCGTTCCCCCTTTTACACAAGTTCTCATCTTTGCTTTATCTAGAAGCAAGAGATGCAAGCAGGGTTACAGCCAGATGTGTAATGTTTTCACTGCGCCAGTCATGGTTTTGGAATAGTGCCAGCAAAATGCCGCCAAGTGTCTTAGATCTCTTCAGCACACACACAAAATGCATTTCCTTTTATATGCATTATGACTAAGTACAGGGGAGGGAATCCCCTTCTTTACTGCACTCATATAGGGGAGGAAAATCACAGAACACTAAAAAACCTGCAATCAAAGGTCCAAGCAAGATGCCAAGTGTAGCCATTATATCACGGACAACAGCCATAAAACACATTCTCCCACAGTTGTCTGCTTGAAGATCAGGAGTACAGAGCTCCTCTAAAAGTCCCCTGACACAATAAAATGTTCATGCTGGATAATGATGAGTGTGGAATGCATGAGATAAGAATATAGTGAAGGTATGGGAAATACAGAGTGGGGGGGGGCTTGTGGGGGGGACATTAAGGGAAATTCCAAGGCATCAAGCAAGCTAGGATTAAGAACCATTTGTGGTAAGTCTGCAGCTTGTAATACTAAGTGTAACACATGTGTGGGGAACCTTTACAACTCCCATTTGAACAATATTTACTTAGTTAGTTACACAGTTTGTAATCTGCCTGGCATCAGGAGACATACCAGGTAGGGTTCAGAACAGGAGAAGAAGAAGAAGAAGAAGAAGAAGAAGAAGAAGAAGAAGAAGAAGAAGAAGAAGTTAAGCAAGAAAATATGACACTGAACAAGAGAGCAGTTTAAATAATCACCAGCCCACAAAGCTTAAAATGCCAGGCAATGAAATTATAAAAACATTGGCGCTAGTTATATTTTAAAGTGGAGAGCGTTCCAAATTTGAGGCACCACCACAGAGAAGGCTCTAGCCCATGTCACCACATATTGAGCTTCTTCCACTGGTGGAATGTGGTGTAGCTGTAGTAATAGTCATAGGTAGTATATATTCCATAAATTTATTTAATCCCTCCCTCCCACTAAAACACGTAGAGGGAAGAGTGCTCACATGCTCATGTTTTGCTTGCTGGTTTCCCACAGGCATCTGGTTGGCCACTGGGAACAGGATGCTGGACTAGATGGGCCATTGGCCTGATCCAGCCAGCTATTCTTATGTTGTTAGTCATTTTTGAAAGCCATAGTGCTCACCAGCACTTCTTGTGGAACAAATTTCATAATTGCACGACTAATTTAGCATTCTGCAATTAGGAGCAACTAGACATCGCCGTTCTCCCATTTAGGTAAAGGTAAAGGGGCCCCTGACCATTAGGTCCACTCATGACCAACTCTGGGGTTGCAGCGCTCATCTTGCTTTATTGGCCGAGGGAGCCAGCATACAACTTCCAGGTCATGTGGCCAGCATGACTAAGTCACTTCTGGCGAACCAGAGCAGCGCACGGAAACGCCGTTTACCTTCCCGCCGGAGCGGTACCTATTTATCTACTTGGACTTTGACATGCTTTCAAACTGCTAGGTGGGCAGGAGCAGGGACCAAGCAACAGGAGCTCACCCGTCGCGGGGATTCGAACTGCCGACCTTCTGATCAGCAAGTCCTAGGCTCTGTGGTTTAACCCACAGCGCCACCCGCGTCCCTCTCCCATTTAGAGTTACCACCAAATTTCCAATAAGCAAGTTTCTGCTTGGGATGAAAATATTTGTGATTAGAGCGCCAGACTAGGACTGGGGAGATCTGGGTCCATTCCCCACTCAGCCATGACTTTCACTGGATTACCTTGGTCTAGTCACTATCTCTCATCTGAACCTATCTCAAAGAGATGCTGTGAGAAATGGAGGGGGGGGGAATTATGTATGATTCTCCCATAGTCAGCCACTGGGACTATCCGTGGTCTTTACTCTGCCATGATTTGATCTGAGGCTGCTCTGCTGATTTGCTGGGAAGAGACTGCCTGATCTGTCTTCATTTAAGGTTTGTTCACTCCCTGTGACTTGTGTGTTTATGCTTTTATGGCTTTTTTTCCCCAATGGTTTTTTCCCCTTGTTATTAGCCACCATGAGAACTCAAGGTAGCCTATAAATACTGAAAATGCATAAACAAGCTTTGAGGCAAAATGTAAACTTCCTGTTTCGGAATATCTGAGGGATTATTAGGAATTCAAAAGGTTTATCAATAAGTTTTGGAGCAAAGTGTATCTTTGCACCCCTCCTTCCTTGGTAAAGGGTGCCTGCTTTTGTTCTTTATAGAGATCAAATTGTTCACAGGATGAGGTGTGCCAACTCATTGGCATTGCAAGTTTAATCCATTTTACTTTAATATTCTTCCCACTGCCTTTTATCTCCATGAGTCTTTATTATTAGCACACTGATTCAAGCCTCGGATGCAGGGGTTAAGCTGGAGTTATTTATAAAATCTAAATTCAAACAAGTGTAAGATAGCATAGAGTGAAAGCTTAGGTATAAAAGGCCAATTGCAGGCTTAATTTAAATTAATCAGAAATAATGGGCTGTCATCAGGAGGGATAGTATAAACAGACAAACTAATCCTGCACATTCCAATTATAAAATACACTGAGGCTCTAAGTCTTATTGATTTAATACAGTATTTAGTTTGCAGAAGGGAGTCTAAGATGATCAGAGCTAACTTCTTAGGCTATAGCACTTTTATTAGAACTTACTAAATTTCAATGAAATAGCTGTTGTACAAGGCTCTTATTCAGGGTTCCTATTTATAAATAAAGCAAAGCAAAACTTTTTAAAATATACCAAGTGGAAACGTGGAGGGAATTGACCCAAAGATGCTGGAAATTTCATCTACAATATTGTCATAAGATGTTGACACAGCTCTTTGCAGACTTATAATTAAGTCAATGCCCAGCACAAAAGAGCAGGGTTCAGCTTAGGATAACTGCTGTTTTATATATTTTATTTGCACACAGTTCATTTCTTTAATGTTGCCAACTCCTGGAAAGGATGTGCATGCAAAAACTGAAAGCCTGTTCTCTGCATTGCGATTGCTAGTTACACTTAAGACAGCTCACTATCTTAATGTTGACCATACAGTTACCTGCTTCCCTTCTATATGTTTGATAGAAAGAACTCAGCACATCCTGGGCAGCAAATGCATTTTTCAGGAGCAGCAGTAACAGAAGCAGCAACAGCAAAAGGAAATATTGAAGAAAGGAGATTCTGAATAAAACCTCTACAATTTTCACGACTGTTCCATAGAGTAACTAGAAATTATCATTCTTTAGACCACCTAATATTAAAACCTTTGTGGATATGTTCCACATCACTCGTGTAGTCAAGCCTAAGCCTTTGAGATCAATCCAGGTCCTTTTTTCCCCCTTCTAAGGATAGGGAACTCTATTCTGCATTACATTAAATCCAATGGAGGCTTGTGCTCATTAGAACTCATAAGTTGGAAGGCAGGGCCAACAGTAGGTGGTAAGGTAAAGGTAAAGGTACCCCTGCCCGTACGGGCCAGTCGTGTCCGACTCTAGGGTTGTGCACCCATCTCACTTAAGAGGCCGGGGGCCAGCGCTGTCCGGAGACACGTCCGGGTCACGTGGCCAGCGTGACAAAGCTGCTCTGGCGAGCCGGCACCAGCGCAGCACACGGAAAGGCTGTTTACCTTCCCGCTGTAAAGCGGTACCTATTTATCTACTTGCACTTAGGGGTGCTTTCGAACTGCTAGGTGGGCAGGAGCTGGGACCGAAAGGCGGGAGCTCACCCCGCTGCAG